GGGGAAACGCAAGAGGTCCCATCCTAGGTCAAACACATTCAGATATTAAGTCTGATTCACTGTTACCATGACACATGCAATCTAAACACAGAAGAAATACAAACTCTGGCAGACTTTTTGTTTTAGTTTTTGCATTTTTGAGACAGGGTTTCTCTGTGTAGCTCTGGCTGTCCTGGAACTTGCTCTGTACAGCAGGCTGGCATCAAACTCATAGAGACTTGCCTGCTTCTGCCTCCTAAGTGCTGGGATTAAAGGTGCGTGCCTTGAGGCCTTTTGCTGGTGGCCAAACACAAGTTTGAGGTCAACCTGGTCCCCAGAGACCTGTGTCAAAACAACAGCTAAATATGTAGGGCAGTGTTGAGTGCTTGTCTAGCATTGGTGAGGCCTCATGGCTGACTTCTAGCTCTGTTCCAAAGAATGAAATAGGTTAAGTAAAGAACACACCCAGGACAGAAAGGAAAGGGACCAAACCCAGGTCCATGAGAAAGAAGTTTTTAAATGATGTATCTTATATATAACTATGTATACCAGGCTGACCTTAAACTCAAGAGATCTTCTTGCCTCTGCCTCCCGAGTGCTGGTATTAAAGGCATGCGCCACCTTGTCTGACTCTTAAAACTAGTTCTAAGAGTGGGGCTGCTGGGCTGGAGAGATGGCTCAGCAGTTAAGGGCACTGGCTGCTCTTCTAGAGGACTTGAGTTTATAGTCAGCACCCACATGATGGCTCACAACCATTTGTAACTTCAGCTCCAAGGGATCCGACACTCTGGCTTCCATGGGTACTGTATGCACACAGTGCCTTTACATACATATAGGCTAAGCACCCATACATGTTGAAAAGCAGAGGGCAGCTGTTCTGAACCTGCTTCAGAATGGCGCCAATCCATTTATTCACCACTTGTGCCATTGCTTCTGTACCCCCTCCCTGCTGCTGACACTTCTGTTTCTAAGAGGCAGCTGAGGTGTCCTGGAGTCAGGGTGGTTGGGTGTGGTGGTGGCCAACCAAGTTGGAGTAGTGGCTTCAGTGGCTGAGGTATTAGTTATAGTAAGCAGATGTGATGGTAATTCTTGGTTAACTACATCTGGAATTAACCAAAACCCAAATGGCCGGGCACACTTATGAGGGTTTTTTCTTCTTTTTGGGACAGGGTTTCTGTGTTTAGTCCTGGCTGTTCTGTAGATCAGGCTGGCCTTAAACTTGCCTGCCTCTGCCTGTCAAGTGCTGGGATTAAAGGCATGCACAACAACCACCTATTTTTTTTTTACATTTATGTAAAATGCATTATGTGCATCTGTGTGGGAGGGGGTGTGTGTGCCTCTGTGCACATATTGGGAACCCAACTCATCAGATTGGAGGTACCTGCTGAGCCTCCCATGGGCCCAAACACCTGTGTTTACTAACTTAGGCATTTGATTAGGGAGTGACTAAAGAATGTCCCAGACTGAAGAGACATGACAACCAAAGGTAACACATGGTCCTGGGCATAAGAGGCCCAAAAGCAAAGGGAGGCCTGCAAGGATGCATGACAACATCTGCATTTGCTTGGAGGTTTTGGCCTTGATCTCATGTTGATTAACTGGCAAGGAAGGCCAGACAGTAGCCACCCAAAGTGCCCTGCATCACGACAGGCATTTATCAGCAAGTTAAGGGTAATAGAATGCCTGCTAGAAACAGACAGGTAAAGGCAATGGAGTAATTTAGGAAAGGTGGCCGAGGGGAGACAAGCTTTGGAAATACACATTAGGCAGGTCTCGCAGTCTCAAGCCTCAGCCTCCCGAGTGCTGGAACTGCAGCCAGCAAGCGCTTTCTTCTTCAGTGTTTTTGAAACTTTGCTGTAAGTCAGAAACTATGTGCACATTCTAAAAAATGAAACGATGTCTAAAAGCAACTTTTTATTTACAATATAAAGGTTACAAAGGCATATATACTTATATATATAATATCCTTAAGTTACAAGTTTTCATTGTAATATACAATGCTAAATGTTGATGTGCAACCCAAGGGAAGTGTTGTCTAAGCATCTATATTAATAAGAGTATACATAAAGCTTTTTTAAAAATTAAGAACACAAACTGCTCTGTTTTATGTCATGGGTCTTTGATTTGGTAGCCAGAAAACTTGAGACATTTTAGATAAGACTTGAACAGAGGTCTTATTTAAATAAAAGAGATTCTAAAAAGAGAAAACAAATAAAACCCCAAACAACCAATTGGTAGAAATTTATTCTTTTTTGAGACAGTTTCACAATTCGAGCTGGCTCAATATTCACTATGTGATTGAGGATAGCTTCTTCCTGCCTCCACCTTCCAAACGACTGCTGGGTTTACAAATGTGGCTATCACACCTGGTTTTCTATGGTGCAGGGATCAAACCCAGGGCTTCCTGCATGTGAGGCAAGCCTTCTTCCAACTGAGCTATACCACCAGCCTTACCTAAGCTAGCTTTCAAGTCTTTACACTTAGAAAAAAAGAGCAGCATGGGAAATAAGACAGACATGTGGGTAATAACAGAGTGTGCATAGGAGAAAAAGCAGGCTCTGCTCCATACGATTTCAGATCTGGCACCAAAATGGAAAAGTGATTGCTCGGGCACTGACATTTTCAAGCTGAACTCACAACAGGCTGTAACCGTGACACGGGCATCCTGTACTGAAGATCTCAACCCAGTGCCTAGGATATGATATAAGTGAGGATCTCGGAGACTGTCAAACCCGAACTTTTCTCTCTCTCCAGTCCTACTAATTCAGAAACCATCAGCAAGATGCAGCAAATACCCACTGCTAGCAGGACTCGTCCTGACAGACAGCAATACTATGTGCTGGTTTTGATAAAAACAATCATTAGCACCTGATTGTCAAAGGGCAAGTTTAAAGAGCAAGACACTGAAGGTGTGGCCTCATTTTCACACATGACTCCAATATACTTGAAAACAAGGGTAAGAAGTCCATGTAACTGCATCCTTTTGCCACCCCCACCACAGAAAGCTCAGGTGCTGTCTGCGAAGAATTAAACATGTTTGAAAAGCTGACCTGAAAGGTTAATAGAAGGCAAGGTGACTTAAAGGGAATGTCATTGAGGAAAATTCAGCAAAACTCTCACTTTTTCTAGGTCTCTTTCCACTGAGTTTGAATATCAGTGTTCTAGAATAAGTGGAATCTTCCTAATTTTTAGGACTTATTTGTTTATGTATTGTATGTATATGAGTGTTGTCTGCATGTACACCACACACCAGAAGAGGGCACTGGATCCCATGTGACTATGGTTATAGAGGGATGTGGGAATTAAACTCAGGACCTCTAGAAGAGCAGCCAGTGTTCTAACTGCTGAGCCATCTCTCCAGCCCTGGAATCTTGCTAATTTTTAATGCAATTTGGTTGCTTACTAAAAACAGTCCAGCTATGATGTGTATAAGAACCTTAAAAAATAAAATGCTTAAATAGTAAGTATGAAAATGAGTAGGTCAGTAATGTTTAGAAATAAGCTTTGCTGCCTATTTAAAAGTATAATAAAAAAGTCAGCTGTGTGTGGTGGCGCACACCTTTAATCTCAGTACTTGGGAGGCAGAGGTAGGCTGATCTCTGAGAAATCGAGGCCAGCCTGGTCTACAGGTCAAATTTCAAAACAACTAGGGCTATTACACAAAGCAACTCTGTCTTGAAAAACCAACCAACCAACCAAATAAAAAAACAAACAAACAAACAAACCAAACAATCAACACCCACCCACCCACACCAATTGATATTTGATAGCAAAGAATAATTTGCAAAATATTTAGATATTACATTAAATTCACATATACAAAATTGTTGAGCTGGGTTTCGTGTATTCCAGGTTAGCCTTAAATTCTCTACATAGCTAAGAATGACTTTGATCTTCCTTGCCTTACACCTCCCAAGTGCTGGAATTACACCTCACAAACTGGTTGGAGAGATGGCTCAGTGGTTAGCGCACTGGCTGTACCTGCAGAAGACCTGGATTTTCATTCTCAGCACCCACCGGGCATGCATATGATTCACATGTAGGCAAACACTCATACATAAAAGAAAAATAAATCTTAGAAAACGCTTTGATCCAGTCACCCAAAGTGGGATGGGAAAATAGAGGCGGCAAGAAATGATGTTCAAGGTTAGCTTGAAGCTGGTGCACAGCGGTGGTTCCTGGCACTAAGCTGGAGGCAGGAGGACCAGCAATTTGAGGCTGACCTAGGTCATATGAGAGAGTATATCTACAAACCAAGAAGAAAACCAAAACTTGTTATTCTGAAATCAAAGGGGCTGGGAATATAAGAGTATATCACATGGCAGTACTGACTATGCTTAGCGTGACCAAGGTCCTGCCTGGGGCCAATGCCAATGTCAAGGAGTAAAAAGGAAAAGAACTCATGTTTTTCTGAGTTAATATAACAAGCATTTTTCTAGTTGATTTGGCCACTGCTGGATAAGAGACAAGAAAATAATGTGCCCCCTGTGGCTATTCCCTGAACCTCAGCCTGAAACCTTGCCTTTGATAAACTTGTGGCCAGATATGGGTTTGTGTTGTTCTGAGCAGTGCTCCAGAGGGCCCCAGGGCCTTGCACATGCTGGGCAGGCATTCTGCTACTGAGCTACACCTCCAGGCCATTTCATTTTTTAAAGAGAGAACAGGTTTCAGATCAGCTACTTGGATAGTCTATTGCTAGAATGAATAATTTCTACTTACGACACTATAGCGGGGACAGCTATGTTGCTAGAATACACGCAGTCCTGACATGCAGCATGACTTCTATCTACCATTACACTCTCAGTGAATGTTTAGATGTCCAGCACAGAGAGAAGTGGAGTTTAAAGACGGTTCAGGGTAAGTGCTATCAGCTTTTAAGGAGTCTATGTAGAAACTAAAAATCATTCTAGGAACAATAGGAAAATGCAGAGTTTCTTTTATCTTCAGCAGAGGAAGAGCCACAAAACAACCGTAACGCATGGAAAGCTTCCTAAGCTCACAGCAGACCATACCACCACCTGGTTCATGTGCCTGACCAAAACATTTGAAGGAATGAGTATGATTTTTGTAGAATTCAACTAAAGTAAAATTCAACTAAAGTTCTTGCAATTTCAAATTTATCTATTTTATTTTTTCCAGACAGGATCATATACAATCCAGTTGGCCTTGAACTGGCTATACAACTAATCTTTAATTCTCTGCCTGCAGCTACCAGGTACTAGAATTTTATTGTTGTTTTGAAACAGTCTTGTTGTGTAGTCCTGGTGCCTGGCAAACCTGGTTGAGCTTCCCAAGTACTCAGATTCCCACTGTAGTGCTACATATTAAATACCATCCAGAGCAATGTGCTTTTAAGAGCTAAGCGACCTGCATTTGACTTCCTCACTAGAGATGAGGAGCTTGTTTGCTTCCTTGCTTTCCTGGGCCGTTGGACATGGGTGCTGGGATCTGAGCTCCAGTCCTCATGGTTCAGTAGCAAGCCCTCTTAACCACCAAGCCCAGATTTCTTTTTTGTTGTTGTTGTTGTTTTGTTTATCTTCTCTTTGTAGCTTTGTCTGTCTTGGAACTCACACTGTAAACCAGGTTGGCCTCAAACTCACAGAGATCTGCCTGCCTCTGCCTCCTGAGTGCTGGGATTAAAGGAGTGCACCACTGCCCCGACCCAGCTTTCTAAGGACTCAGTTCATTCTTGGTACCTAGAGCTGCTGGCAGCTACTTGGGAATAAAAGCAGAATGTTTGGATAGTTTAAATATAATGTACAATCAATAGCTTGAACCAGTGCGAATAATAAATTATGATCCAGGTAAGTGTCCACCAAAGATACAAAAGAACAGAGAAAGTGCTGGAGTCTCTTTCCTCAACACTTCAAAACTGCTGAACCCTCTTAGTAGGTGAGGCTTCAATATTAGTTTGCATAGCAGCTTGGAAGGTGATTTGCATTAACACACGGGCAGATTCTTCAATGAATTTGAAAACAAATCCACACGAATTTAAATTAAACAAGAAGACTTTGAGTTTCTTACAAAATTTTAAGAAATCAGTAATCCTCTCCACACATTTTTGTTCATCCAAACCATTCATAGTAAAACCTTTTTCTTGCGGGGGGGGGGATAATCATGTTCAAAGTTCAAGTTTAATATTTTTTTTGGTGATAATAATTTCCTCTTTTGAAAGAATAAATTTTGGTTTATCAGCTAAGTGCATTTATTCTTGAATAAAAGCTTTGCTACTATTCTTTCAGGAGGATGTTAGTAAAACAAATTAGAAACAATGTTAGCTTTCTGTTGGCTAGAGAGATTTTTCTACATATAAAAAAATAAATAATTCAATCTCTCCTACCATGCAAATAATTTCCAGTAACAAACTTAAGAGTTCAGACAAAAACAAAAACAAGAAACCCCACCAGGCATGATCAGACTTACCCTGGTCTGAAAAGTGCTAAACATGGCTTCAAAATAGGCAGATGGTAATTAAAGTAACATTTCTGATTGCCTATAATATCCCAGAATTTAACCTGAACTGTTTATAAGTTGGTGCCTTTACTTATAATCATCTAATAGGTACAGCAAACACACAGGAGCATTTCTTGTATAAAATATTTGATACCAATTTCTGGGCAAGGCTTGTAGACAACATCAGCTTCCTTTAGTCCTCTCTCTTGGGGGGAGGAGACTTCTCTGCCCAGGGCTAGCAATCCAGGTATGGAAGGCAAAGATACCTAGGAAATAGTCCACCTGAACAGTTTCCTTTCCACTCGACACCCAGGATCCCACAATAGTCAAAAGAAAAAAGACAATTTAGCTGATTCTATAAATGAGGTGAATTAACAGGGATGTCCATTTTTAGTTATTATATAATATTGAAACTATTTTATATTTTGGCATTTGAGTACAACATTGATACTACAGGTATGTATTAAGTTGTCCAACACTCACAAAAAGCCTTTCACTTGTGGTTTGAAAAATGTGACACAATTAGCTGCACATATGCCTGGGGGAGCTGCGGCAGCTTCTGAAACAAGCGGCTTAGAGGCCTGGTTCTCTGGGCTGTTAATGACACATCACCCATAAGCCTTCATTGTCTACCAGGACTGAATGGGCTGCAGTCCTCACACCACTCACTGCCCTTCTAAGGACAGGGTGGCAGGACCTCCCATCAGTCTTCTGGGTGGCTTAGCCTTTCCCACCAATATGGAAGACTTCAACTCTATCACTGAAGCCTGTGCCGTTCATAACTTCTAACAACAAGAGCATCTGAGCTTCCGCCTGAGGTTATCTGTTGTAGTTCTGCTTTCTGAACTCGGCTGGACCTTTGAAATACGTTTTTTCCTTTCTTTTTTTGAGCAGAAGATGTATCATGGATGGATCCAATCTCAGGATTACAACTACTTAAAATATAAAAAGTTCTAGAAAGATGTCCTTTAGATCTTAGTTTCTAGTTTAAAGTAAATCCCAACATTTGTTTTTGGTGCGCCAATACCTATCCGAAGCTGGGGTGGGGGGGCATTCCTCCTCAGCCTCTGCACACCATCAGTCTGACCACAGAGAAGGCGGAGGACAGTGGGCACCTCCTTTACTTGGGGATCTGTCCTTTCCTCTATCGCCAGTCAAGGCACCCGAACTTCACACCTCAGGCTCTGCATGAACAGTTGTTTTCTTTCTTTTTCTCCCCTATGCCATCTGAAGCATTACATGTCTGTGTAGCACACTCCAGAGAAATCTAGAAAATGAGAGCTATTTCTAGACTTTTTTTCAGAGAGCATAGAAAACTCTAAGGCAATATTTCTTTTTGTTCTGATTTACGGATTGTGCTAATCTGGGTATTTTATGTAGCGAGACTATTTGAAATGTTTCTACACACATCTATTTTCTTCCAAGCCAGGAAAAAGAAGCTGGATATGATTTATCCAGGCCACAACATCAGAAAGCACCCTGAGGCTGAGTCCTGATGACACTGAGCTGAACCTAAGTAGGCAGCTGCCGAGCGTCTGATCACTCCACCCACTCAGGGTGTGTGGGGAAGAGCTGGAGGCGACTTGTCCTTTACCACTTTGGGACCACAAAAGTCCAGTGCCAGGATCTTTCCTGGCCCCACAGTGCCACTTGACATGGCATCTGTGCTGCAAAGCTAACGACCCACAAAGTCACCACCAAAAGATGCCATTGAGGAAGCGACCTAAAGGTTGACTCCTTAAAGCTAGATGGTCTTCCTAGAATGGCAGTGAGATCCAATCAGCTAAACAGTCACGAATAAAGCTCCACAGAACCTAACCAAAGGCACATTTGGTAAGCAATAAGAAATGGCTTAGCTTAGAATAAGAATCTTTCTTGCAAAATAAACTTTAGACCATCCCCAGGCTCCTACCAAATATAAACTCAATAAAAACTAAAGGAAGTAAACTCCTTTTTCAGAGAAGCGGTTTCCAACTGGATTTTCAACTTGGCCAACCACCAAAAAGGGGAGTGAGGGCAAAGGCAACCGGACTAAAGACAGCACTCATGAGCGGCAGAGCTGGGGTCAGAGGTGGGGTGTGGGGCAGGGTGAGGTGAGTGAGAGCCAGGGTGCATGGACGAACCATTGGGGAATTACAGGTAAAGACAGGAACACTGTGTGCAGTCGACCTGTGTGGGATGCCGGAGGGATGATGGGCTGCTGGACACTAGCATCTGGGGAGCAACAGTTATCCTAATAAGAGCTCAAGGCCAAGCCCCAAACAAACCCTGCAGGAAGAAAAGGAGAACTTCTCTGACTGTTTGTAACCAAAGAGAAACCCAAAGAGCCAGCCTTCCTAACGGGAAATAAACACAATTACTTAGCGATCACAATATGAGACGACAAATCAACAGCTTCAATTTGGAGCTTATTACAGTTCTAGAACTCCTGACCAAGGCTGCGTGGGAAAGGTCGGCCCTTCTTTAACCCTGTGGTTTCAGCAGTGATCTGAGGTTTGTGGGAAGGCACTGTGATGGAGCAGAGCAGGGCTTCTTTTTGTGCTTCTTTGTTGTTGCTTTTTTTGATTTTTATTTTTTTGAGGTGGAAATACTTCTAGTGACAGTCGAAGCTCTTTCTTGACTCTCGCCGCTGCTCATACAAGCAGTCCCATTCGAGTGACTTTGGCGGATAAGAACGTGTGCAACACAAATACAATCGGCTTTGGACAAGAATGCAGGTCCATAGTCTGTGGAGAAAGGACACACACTTTAATAATAAACAAAGGCATTAAACAAATCTAGATATGATGTTCCACTTTTTTTTTTCTTTTTGGTTTTTTGAGACAGGGTTTCTTTGTACATCCTTGGCTGGAAACTCTCTCTGTAGTTCAGGCTGGCCTTGAGCTCACCAAGATCCACTTGACTCTGCCTCCTGAGTGCTGGGATTAAAGGTGTGCACCACCCAGCTGACTCCATGTTTGTTTTGGTTTTTAATGCAGTCTCTTGAAGCCCTGGTGAGCCGCAAATTTGTTGCATAGCTGTGGATAACCCTGAATTTCTGATCTGTCTGCCTGTATTTTCAAGGTTCTGAGACTACAGGGATGCATCACCATGCCCAGATTTATGTGGTGCAAGGGATCAAACAGAGCTTTGTGCATGCTAGGCAAGCACTCTATTACGTGAGCTCCATTTCAATAACTAAATCACGTTTCTTTATTGTGTGTATATAACTCGAGTTTGTGTGCATGCGTGTGTGTTTGTGTACAAGTGAGCACATGGATGACACGTACATGGAAGACAGCTTATGGAAGTTGGTTCTCTTGTGTCACCATGTGGATCCATAGGTCATGAGGTTGGTGGCAATTGCCTTTACTTGCCAAGCCACCTCTACGGCTCTTTCCACACTTTTTTTTGAGACAGGGTCTCTCATTGGCCTGGAACTTGCCACTTAAGCTAGGCTGGATGACCAACAAGGCCCAGGGATCTATCCATCTTTGTCTCTCCAATGCTGGAATTGCAAGTGTGCTACATACCCAGCTTCTTTAATGTAGATTTTTTTTTAAAGGGGATTGAACTCAGATTTTCATACATGTAGAACAAACACATTACTTTTTCTCCAGTTCTCAGACGAAACTTTAGAAAAAGAGAATCGCTCCCTAATGTGGAGAAACGAAACAACAAAAGTTCAATCCTGCCAGGTGGTGGCTGGACATGCCTTTAGTCCCAGGAGGCAGAGACAGGTGGATCTGAGTTTAAGGCCAGCCTGATCTACAGAGCGAGTTAAAGGATAGTTAGGGCTACACAAAGAAACCCTGTCTTGAAAACTAACTAATAGAAATAAACAAAAAACAGAACCAAGACAATCCCAGGGCCATCCTGAAAATCAATGAACAATGTCTTAGCTGTAATGGAATGTCAAATGTTAGGCCACAGGAGGTAAGAGACAGTGAGAAGATTGGGAATACAGCTCAGTGGTAAAGGACCACTCAGCATGCAGACGCCTTGAATTCAATATCCAGCAACATAAAGGAAAGCAAGCAAACCAGAAGCAATGTGAAAGACAGAAATGACCAGTGCAGACCGGTTCATGTCATTCAGGGTGGCACCCAATAGGCATGTTCATAGTTTTCAGAAACATTCTCACCAGTTCTCCCTCAGGACCACCAAAATCCAGATAGAGATTTCTGATGCCATCATCAGCAGACATCTTCAGCCGTTCAAAAGGATAGCGGTACAGTATGCTGCTGGAGCTGCCGTTGTCTCTGGAGATAGTGAACCCATGCTCATAGTGGACAGTAAATCTTACCTCTTGGCCACTTAAGGTGCAGCCTATCAAAGACAAGAAAAACTCACATATAATAAAGCTTTATTTTAGTTATCAAGTAGAAAAGAATTCCTCTAGTTTCAAACAGGAAAAATGATCTTTTCTTGAGAATATGAGGCCTAAGTTACTTAAAATTTCCTAAAATATAAATTTTAAAAGACTTTTTAAATTTTGCACTCACTTTGATAGAACAAATACTAAAATTGGAATGAAACAGGGAAGACTAGCATAACCTCATGAAGGAAGAAAATTCATGAGGAGTCCATATTTTTTAAAAGACCTATTATTCTTATATTTCTTTTCAGACAGGGTTCAGTGTACCCCGGGCTGACCTGTAATTATGTGCTTCTGATCTTCTTGTTTGTGTATCCTGACTGCTAGAATTATAGGCATAGACTACAAAGCCAGTCTGAGTTTTCTTTTTAAGACAGGCTCTTCCTCTGAAGCCCTAACCGTACAAGGTAGAATCTATAAGTCATAATTACACTTGAGACTGAGCTAAGGCTAAAGTCAGAAAAAGATTTCTAGGATGGGAATTCAGATAGTCCCCAAAGAAAAGATAAAACTAGCCAGGCGGTGGTGGCGCACACCTTTAAACAGCACTTGGAAGCAGAACGCAGGCTCTGAGTTCAAGGCCAGCCTGGTCTACAGAGTGAGTTCTGAAACAGCCAGAGCTGCTACCCACCTAAACTCTGTCTCGAAAAACCAATCAAGCCGGGCGGTGGTGGCACATGCCTTTAATCCCAGCACTCGGGAGGCAGAGGCAGAGGCAGGTGGATCTATGTGAGTTCGGAGCCAGCCTGGTCTACAAAGCCAAGTACCAGGACAGGCTCCAAAGCTAGAGAAATCCTGTCTTGAAAAACCAGAAAAACCAACAAAATAAACAAAAATCAAATATTTTATACTGCCCTTTTCTCTTCTCCACAGCAAACTTCCTGGAAGAACTCTCCACACTGTCCCACTGTCCCATCAGCCCTCGGCCTTTGCAGCACCTGCTCTGTCATCACACCGGTAAGCATCTCTCTCTCCAAGGACACGGATAACCTCCAAGTTCTAAATCAACTGAATTACATTAAGCATTGACTGTGCCCCGTTTCCATGTCCTCATTCTTCCTTTATGGGAACTTAGGTTTCTGCTGTGTCCTCTTGTGTTTCATGGAAGGCCAACCCTAACTTCAGAGTAGTCAGCTCCTGGAGCATGGCTTTGTCAGGGGTAAAATGAACTGTGATTGGGACGCAAGTCTTTCCTCCCTCGGCACCTGCAGACCATGCACCTCTTCATATATTTCTAATATTTGGCTGAAGTGGGCGTGATGATACATACCTATAATCCCAGGGCTTGGGATTGCAGAGGGAGAAGGATCAGGCATATCCTGCCACCCTGGATATATAGCAAGTATGAGATCAGTCTGGTTTTAGGACAACCTATCTCTAAAAACAAAACTAAATATTTTAATTAAAGAAAACAAAAAAGATATTGTGGGGGGCTTGAGACAAGTTAGAGTCATCAGAGAGGAAGGAGCCTCATTGAGAAAATGGCTCCATAAGATCAGGCTTAAGCAAGCCTGTAGGGCATTTCCTTAGTGACTGATGGGGGAGGACCCAGCCCACTGGGGGTGGTGCCATCCCTGGGCCAGTGGTCCTGGGCTCTACAAGAAAGCAGGCTGAGCAGCCCATGGGGAGGAAGCCAGTAAGCAGTACCCATCTATGGCCTCTGCATCAGCTCCTGCCTCCAGGTTCCTGCCCTGCTTCAGTTCCTGCTCTCACTGATTTCAATGATGAACTGTGAGTGAAATAAACTCTTCCCCAAGTTGCTTTGGGTCCTGGTGTCCATCACAGCAATAGTGATGCCAGGGCTGTTACACAGAGAAACCCTGTCACAGAAAACCACCACCACCACCACCAACAACAACAAAAAACAACTTCTTTTTCTTTCTTCTGAGACAGGGTTTCTCTGTGTAGTCCTGGTTGTCTTGGAACTAGCTCTGTACACAGGCCATGCTAGCCTTGAACTCAGAGATTTGCCTGTCTCTGCCTTTGACTAAAGGGATGTACCACCACCACCTGCCTTAAAGGTAACTTCTGAAGAAGTCCCTAATATTAGCACACTTTAGTAAAGCAGAGGGGGAAGAGATTCATTCACTATGGGGTCCATCGGCGCTATACTGAAATGAATGTAATCATGTCATCTATTTTATGCCTCTATGTGCATGTGTGTAGAAGTCAGAGGCCAGACCTTGGGACTGTCCTCCCTAGCTGTTATCCATCTTATATTTTTAGAAACAAGCAAGTTCTCTTGCTGGTCTGGCCATGGACTCCCAGGTAACCGACTTGATCTTTCTGGGAGGAACTGGAACGACACACATGAGCCAGCACAGCTGGATTCAGTTGTAGACATGGGTTCTGGGGAATGAACTTTGGCCTTCATGCAGTGTGGCAAGCACTTTATTTTCTCTGTCAATATCTTTTTTATTTAGCCTGTCTAGAGTGCTGAAGACTGAATCTCAGTCTCTGCATGGATCACTGAGCTCCACTTCTTATCCCTATCTGTATTACTCCCCCCAACTTTGATTTTTTTTTTTTTGAGACAGGGTTTCCCTGTGTAACAGTCCTGACACTCGTTTGTAGACCAGTCTGGCCTTGAACTCACAGATCCACCTGCCTCTGCCTCCCAAGTGCTGGGATTAAAGGCCTAACCTTTGTATTTCTTAAATTCAAACACTGGTGAAGACCTACTAATAGAGATTTTTCCCCCCATTTTTCAAGACAGGGTTTCTCTGTAGCTTTGGAGCCTGTCCTGGAACTAGCTCTGTATAGCAGGCAGGCCTCGAACTCACAGAGATCCGCCTGTCTCTACCTCCTGGGTGCTGGGATTAAAGACGTGCACCACCATCACCCAGCATGATACAGATGTTTTATGCCACAAATCCTGCTTCTACTACTCTGGGATCGGTTCCTTTTTACCTCGTAGTTCTAGGGAGTTTGGGTGTTTCTGGAAAAAGTTCTTTGACCTGACCCTACAGCAGAACAGGAGGCAGAGTGAGAATGAGAGGGGAAGAAAGGTAGAGGGAAGAGGGAGAGAAAGAAAGACAGACAGAAGTGGCCCAGACTCTTTTGAGAATTGCAGGGAAACTTTGAAGGAAGTAGATCCCTAGAACTTTGTTGGAGAAAGGCTGGGGTAGCAGGTGTCTTACACCTGCTCAATGGTGTAAGACAAGCCACCCTACAAATCTATCGACAAGCTAATCACAAAGGACAACAGGACACTGTGCTCTTCTCACGGCTCTTAGTCAAGGACAGGAAATAAGGTCTTAGTTACTTTTATCTCTCTCATTATAAAGCACAGCTGTGGGTAAATACTAAAGTACACAGCAAATATTTGCTGATGTAATGGACGAAGGGGATTGACACTGTGTATCCTTCAGGCATTTAATCCAGCCATGAGTATGAGTCATCTGGAGAGAGAAGAAGGAGCATAACGCACTGGCTCCATATGAGAACCGCAGCTCAAGTCCCAGCCACACTAGCCCTAGCTTTTGTGAAACTGAAAGGCAAATTGAAATACCTGTATGCTTGCAGAGCATAAGTGAAACCCCAAATTCACAGGGACTAGCCACCAGGGGGCGCATCCACAGTGCACCACAAGAACCAGCAGGAACTAGGCACTAGAGGGAGCTTCTCTAGTGAAACTATGGCAACCAACTCCTTCAAGCACTAACAGTGTTGGACAGAATATTTTCAAACCTTTGAAGAGAAATTCATATTTCAAACACTTTAATCTCTGTAGCTACAATTTCGTAAGATGCTTGCATTTAAGGGTGTCTGGACATATCTTAGATGCTAAATCTTTTTTTTTTTTTTTTTTTTTGAGAAAGGGTTTCTTCTCTGTGTTGCCCTGGAACTCTCTCTGTAGACCAGGCTGTCCTCAAACTCACAGATATCCTCCTGTTTCAGTGCTGGGATCAAAGGCATGCACCACCATGCCTGACCCCACAATCTTTTTAACTATAGTCAGTGGATCTAACTTTTACTGCCCAGGATCTTATACTATTAAATGTAGATTTAAAAGATGAACAGTAAAAAAGCCACGTGGTTAATGCCATGTGGCAAGCATGGTAAAGCTTCGCCAGTGAGACAGATACCGGATTTCTTCCCGCCATCACCATTTGAGCTCACATTTTAAGGCAGTTTATAGTCGGCACACACAACAATGGTGGTTTTATTTTAAAGCTGAGCAGTTTCATTTAATTAATGTTAGAGGGCGGGAGAGATGGTTCAGCTTTTAAAAGCACATAAGCAAATGCTGTCTCTTCAGCTTCTCTCTTTTGGACTCCAGGGGCACCTGCACACACATGACACAAACAGACAAATACACATCCACGCACATCACTAAAAACAAATCCTGAAAAATACTTTAATTGTTGTTAAAAATCCAGGGTCAGGGCCAAGAATGGTAGTGTATACTTGTGACCACAGCACTTGGGAGCAGAGCAGGAGGATCAAGAGTTCAAGGTCATCCTCTCATCCTCGGTACAAACTGAGTTCCGGGTCAGGACAGGCTATGTGAGAACCTGTTGCAGACAGACAGACAGACACAGACAAACAAACAAACAAACAAACAAACAAACAAACATATCTCTACCTAGGGAGACTTCCTTGACCAGCTCAGCAGCAGCATGACAACCCTGAACAAGTATTCTGGTCCAGGTGGACAAATCCCGATGAGTTTCAACCCTGAAGAGATGCATCTCAATGCCCTGCCGAGAGCCCGTTCTTGTAGCAAAGGTAAGGTCAGATCCAAGGGAGGGTGACCGACATCCAGAACCTGAATGAACCAACCTAGGATCACAAATAGAACAGAGAGCTAAAGTAATCACTGCATTACTGGAAGAAAATGCCAGAAATTTATACTCAGTAAGCAGAAACTTATAAAAACCTTCAGCAGTTTTTAGATGAATGCATTTCAAAACCAGACTGTGATATTTTGAAGGTGATACTATTCTTTAATCCCACAGAATAATCCCTGGTGTCTCAAGAGGCAGGATACTACTTACTCTCTTCATAAAAAATTACCCACTAACAGGAAAAGGGATACAGAAAATCCTGCCGGGGCTGGAGAGATGACTTGGGTTAAGAGCATTTGCTGCTCTTCCAGAGGACTGAGGTTTGACATACCGCAGTTCACACCATCTCCAAGATCCCTCATCTGGCGGCCTCCACAGGCATTAGGTACACAGATGGTGCATGGACATATAAGCAGGCAAAACATATAAAGAAAATCAAAGCTCAAAGAACAAGAAAAAAAGAAAGAAGCTGGGCTGTTGTAGCCCACCCTTTAATCCCAGCACTCAGGAGGCAGAGGAAGGCAAATCTCTCTGAGTTCAAGGTTAGTCTGGTCTACAAGAGCTAAACTAGTTTCAGGCCAGTCTCCTACAGAGAAACACCGTCTCAAAAGAAAAAGAAAGGAAGGGAGGGAGGGAGGGAGGGAGGGAGGGAGGAAGAGAGGGAGGAAGGGAGGGGGGAGGGAGAGGGAGAGGGAGAGGGAGAGAGAGAGAGAGAGAATCCAAATGTAGTGGTACATGCCTGTAATCCCAACATTTGGGGAGTTGAGGCAGGAGGATTCTAAGTTTTAAACCAGCCTGGGGTACAGACAGTGACCTCTCAAAAAGAAACAAAACACCACACTACATCCCAACTAGTGGATTAGAAAAGGAAGTCCTATGGTCATCTACCACATGGATGAACTTTTAGGACTTCTTGTTAAATGAAATGAACAGGTCACAAAACTCCACCATGCAGCACATGGTTCTACTTCTATGCAGCACCCAAACCTGATCCAAAATTAGAATCTTTCTTGAAAACTAGAATTTCATCAGGGCGACAGTTAGCACTCTCCTTTGGTCTTTTAGAGCAGGCTCCTTACAAGCACAGATCTGAGCACGATGGTTTGCTAATCAGCCCTCTTCAGGGTGGAAACCGGTAGTTCATGGACTCTTTTTCTTGAAACATGGCTCAGATCACACTTCAGAAGTACAGCTCTTTTCTCAGCTCAATAGTTCCTATTTCATCATGTAGAATATCAAAAAGATGAATACTCACAGGTTAAGATGAAAGAAAACCGATAATTTGTGCTGTCAATGTGGCATGTGTTGGTGTGTACACCTGTCCCTATGTGGAGGCCACAAGTCACATCAGGTGTCCTCCCTGTTCTGTGACCTTATACCCTTCCTTGAGACAGGGTCTCTTACTGAATCTGGAGCGAACCTGATGGCCGCAAAGTCCTACCAATCCTCCTGCCTCAGCTGCCATAGCACTGGTGCTATAGGCACATGTGTGGGATGCCTGGCCTTCTCCCAGGTGCTGGGATCAGAATGCACTCCCATCCACTGAGCAATCTCTCTACCCCAAACTGAGTTTTTACTACTTCAATAAAGACATTTAAATTAAACTGACTCCCTACCCCCACAGGCCATTTAGGGAACACAGTGCCTACCAACAGCTTGTGCATGTGACCGGTTGCCAGTTGCCCTGAAACCTGCAAAGGTTATCAGAGTTTAACTTACCCCCAGGGCAACTGTCAGCACAGTGAAAACTGCAAGAAACATTTTATGATTACATGGTATTACTATGAGATAGTTTGAACTTACAGACTTGCCCTATGGAGTCACCTCTGAGAACTGTGTTACTAACCTGACTCCTGAAGATCTTACATGCCAGGTGAACATGAGCCAGCTCAGAAAGAGTTAAGTTTTAGAATTACTCAATATATGATCCAAGGAAATGGAGTATGGAGGAAAGTGACAGGGTTATTCTACCACATTCAGTTTGATTGCTAATCCCATGTCAGACATTACAAAATATCAGTCTAGGAGGTATTTTTCCCCTAAATTTGATTTTGAAATATTTAGCAGAGGGATTCTAATTCAAACCAGCTGCTGGACTTGGGGAGCAGCCATTGGTTAGGACACATTGCCAAATGCTTCCCACCCCCACTTTTGTGGGAAGGCCAAATAGCCTCACAAAAAGATGAGCTTTAGCAGCTTGGGCCGTATTAGTCCCACAAACTCAATACCACTCAAGTTTCCACTGATACAGTAGCCATGTTGTCCTTGGATTCTGTCTCTCCTGGTCAAAGAAAAAGCTTATAGAAAAAGACTGCAAAATCCACAGTATCTAGTTCGTCACACTTTTCTATCTGTGTTGTGTACCTAGTTTTGATCTCAGTAAAGACCTAAAAAAAAAAATCCCTTCAACACCTCCAGGCATTACTTAATCCTCATTGCCAAAAATGTCATGTACTGAGAGAAAACATGTACATGCACACACAGTTTTGATTTCTAAGAATCTAAATGTGAGCTGGGCATGGTGGTACATATCTTTAATCTCAGCACTCAGGAGGCAGAGGCAGGTTGAGTTCAAGGCCAGCCTGGTCTGCACATCAAGTTCCAGGACAGCCACAGCTACACAGAGAAACCCTGTATCAAAAAACCAAAACCAAACCAAACAAACAACAAAAAAAAAAAACCCAAAAAAATCCAAACCCTAAATGTGTATGTAATCCAACATAAATGGTAACCATTACTTTATACAAATCTAACAATGATACTTGATTTTGAAGTCTGAAGCATAATTAATTCTTACTTTCCTATATATTTCTGTTATCTTTTTTTCCTGTCTATTCATTTGAACGTGGAGCCCACTGATTCTGCTGGACTGGGGGTAGTGAGCTCCATGATCTATCTGTCTCCACCCCCACCCCCCAGAACTGGAGTTACATCTATACCAGGCTTTTTGCAGGGTTCTTGGTATCTGAACTCAGTTCTCAATGCTCATACAGCAATTACTGGACCAACTGAGTTGTACACCAGTTCCTCTTGGCTTCATTTTCTTTATGCTACTTGAAACACAAATATTGAGTCTTACTTCTTTTTCTCATATGGCATGTTTTCTTTTCTTTTCTTTTTTTCACATAGGCTCCCATGTAGCCCAGCCCAATACTGAACTCCTGGTTTTATTGCCTTTAGCTCTCAAGGGCTGGGATCACCATTATGTGCTGCCATGTTTGGCTTTGTTTTTGATGTCGTACCTAGGCTCTGAGCAGACCTACTCCTTAAATACACAACTGCCCCGTTTTATTTACTACTGAAGTCCTTTGACAAGCAACATCCAACGGACAAAAACTGCTTGTTTATGAGGTGACTGGAACTTCTAGCTTTACAGAATGAAGGTTTATTTAGAGTGTTCTAAATCTTTGGAATACAAGTTAATGGGTCTAACCTTAACTGTGGCAACATATCCTTGGTCCTGCCCTGCCCTCAGTGAACGTGAGATAAAATAGAATAAGTGACACTAACTCAGGATTTCCAGGGACACTACACAAGCACAATGGGACGTTCTTAGATGACATCATAGTTTCTGATGTCAAGGTAGCTTTCTTTACTTCAGTGAGGGCCTGGGAATGACACTTAAACTCTGTCTCCTACAAGATGCTTCTCCCCTTAAGGAATTAAGGCGCACACATCTTCCTGGTTCTCAAACTCTGGAGGTGCTTTAACTATTCCAGTGACTGACAGCAGCCCAGGAAAGCTTTATGACAACTTTAACTCTATTTACATGAAAAAATTGACACCAGACTGCACGGGGAGGCACACACCTTTACTTCTCTTTCTTGGGAGGCAAAGGTAGGTGGATCTCTCTGAGCTAACGGCTAGCTGTTACATATTAAGTTTTAGGTCAGTTAGGCCTACATAGTGAAACTCTGTCACAAAAGCAATGTTTTTGATGTTTCCAACAGGAAACAGCCAATGTTCTCTACGGGGCACAGGAGATGGTTCCAACACTTTCCTCTTTTGGTACCAAGTATTTTTCTGAGCAGCTCCCCCACCTAATGAAACCACTAGATTATCTTCCACCCCTTCTTTCTATCAAGGGCAAAGGGCAATTACAACAAAACACTGCCAGAGAACACTCACTTCTCATAGATTCTGGTTTACTGCACTGAGAGAAACTTCTTAATGATTCCTAAAAGCAGTCTTGTGGGGCTTTTTAGTTATGCCAAAATCTGACTCTTTAAGATCCCAGGGAAACAATTTGAATACGCTTCTAGATGAATCTCTTAAGACACCTCAAGGGGCTGGAGAGATAGCTCAGCAGTTAAGAGCATTGCCTGCTCTTCCAAAGGTCCTGAGTTCAATTCCCAGCAATCACATGGTGGCTCACAAATATCTGTAATGGGGTCTGGTCTGCAGGCATATTGTTGTAGTGAGGGGCTGCGGGCAGGCCTGCTTTTCATCCTGCCCGGCTCCCGCACGGCTAGCTTAGTCCCAGAAATGCGGGAGAATTATCTGTATTCTGTCAATCATGTATTTTAATAAAACGCTGATTGGCCAGGCAGGAAATATAGGTGGGTCAACCAGACAGGAAGTAGAGGCGGAGTAATGAGAATAGGATAAGGCTAGGGAGGAGAAAGGTTCCTCGGCCATTCCTGCGCAGACCACTGAAGAGGCAGCATGTAACTTGCCCAGCTGAGAAAGGTATGGAGCCATTATGGCTAACATAGATGAGAATAATGGGTTAATATAAGTTATAAGAGTTAACAAGAAGCCTAACCTAATGGGCCAATCAGTGTATAACCTTATGGAGTCCTGTATGTAATTTCTCTTTGGGATTTGCCGGCTGTTGGGGTACCGGGCGGGACGGAAACCCCAACAAGCCGGCCCTCATGCTACAGCATATACACAGACAGAATATTGTATACATAATAAATAAATAAATATTTAAAAAAACCACTTCAACTTTATATTTCTCAATTGTTCTCTGTGACACTGGGAACATCTGTGGCTTCAGGACAAAGCCATGATTGTGCTATGTGCTCTTTTGCTGCAAAGAGCACTGCAAAGATATTCTGGCTAAATTGAGCGGTTTGTCCACTGTACCACAGTCTGGTTTAAATGATTTCATCACCTACTCAAAAGGCTACTACGATTTCAGTGGTTTTAGTCACAGTCAATAATAAAGAAAAACAAAACCACCCCAAACCCCTATTATCTCCATGACTAAGCAAGTTCTAAAAGGAATAGCCACTCCCTCAACAATTTATGTTTGCGCATGCACACACACAAACACCCACAAGTGATTGAAGCAATTTATTCTGTTAAGAGTTAGGAGTTGCAAAATGATAAGTTGGAAAAAAAATAGATTTTGTCTGTTAGTCTCTTAAATGCTATTTTAGGCACCAAAGGCAGTAGAATTCACTTTATAGCAGACTTAAGAGTATTTCTTTCTTTTGTCTTACCTTGTGGCAACAAGAGGGTAGCTATGACATGGTGATGCCCAGGCATCTCTTGTCCATGGCATACAATCGTAAAGGAGCAAATCCTTCTCGGTCACAGCCATGAGAACAGGCCTCCACTGCTGTCTTCCACCATCTAGTTTTGCCTGTCACAATGGTGAGATCCAGAATCAGAGCTAACTATGATAACTATGAGCCTTTTGCAGAAGTGACTTGAGCACTGGCCCAACATTGAGGACTTTGTTCCCCCACCCTAACAGACTCGAGATACAGAATTATTCCCATGAGGTTACTCCCATAGGTAGGGATTCTCCATTGGGAAGAGTGAAGAGGGGCGTATTTGAAAAGCTAACAAGTCACAGGCATCATTTAGTGATATGACAATGTTACCCCATTCCTTAAAAACTGACCATCACAATTCTAATATATTTATTTATTTTAATATATAATATTATTATTATTAATAATAATAATAAATTATATTTATTTATTTGAAAATATACATATTTTCAAAATGTGTATACCTAGTGTATGATATCTGCTAATAACAGGGTGGAAGCCAGGTGATGGTGACGCACGCCTTTAATCCCAGCACTTGGGAGGCAGAAGAAGGTAGATCTCTGTGAGTCCCTGGTCTATGTTCTAGACAGGCACCAAGACAGAAAAGAAAGAAAGAAAGAAAGAAAGAAAGAAAGAAAGAAAGAAAGAAA